GCTTTTCTGTGAGCTAAAAAAACATCTGCTATGTGTTAAATGGGTAGGAGTGGGGCTTGAGCGTTCATCAGAGGGAAAAAAAAAAAAAAACTTATGTGAATGATTTAAAAAACAAAGCTTTGATGGACTTACCTTCGACTCGTCGTGGTTGCATAAAGCAGCCAGACGGTAATCATGTAAGTAATCATTTCATAAATAAAATGAAGTGGCTCTTCGCTGTTTAACTTTTCATTGAAAATGCACTGCAGTTTTACTTCCCGTGAACTCTAACCAATCAGAGTGCGTCTTAGAAGAACCACAGAGAAATACACACGTGATAGCTAGCTTCTGACTAGGCCTTATGAAACCATGTATTAGAAACCCATGTGTTTTCAATGTGTGCCTACAAAAACAGTTTGAGTTCCTTTTTTAGAAGGAGGCCTTTCGGAAAAGGTTTAGGCAATTCCACATATTACTGTACAGCCAGTCGAACAGTTTGTGTTTAGTTCTGCTCCCCAACTTTTTCTGTCCTGTTTAGCAAGAGCAATATCAAGGTGTTAAATGTAGTAACCAATTCATCGTTCTCAACTGCTGGCATGGGGTAACTAGACTTTAATCATTACTCTTCTCACCGCTTTGATTGCTTGAATCAAAGCGCTGTGTTTTACTATAAACAATTAGGGGAATTTATCAAAATCTGGAGCGGTTGCCTAGGGAAACCAATCTGCTTCTCTTTTCAGTTCAGATAAGATTTGAAAATGAAAGAGGGAAGCTGATTGGTTCCCGTGCACAGCTGCTCCAGTTCTGATAAATACCCCCTGAATGTTTTTGGTGCTTAAGTTTTTACATAAATGAGTAAAAGGATACATGTGAGTGGGACCTTTGGCTTCATTCACACTTGCCACTTGTGCTTTTGTCCCCTATATGCAGAAGATAATCTCAGGCTAGATGCTGTGTTTATGCTTCTAGATGTTTTAAATGATGCATGTTTGCATGCGTTTAGATGCACCTGGTACCAAATTCTAGCATCAAAACACATTTACATGTGTTTCGGTGCGTTTCGAAAAACGTATGGACATCTCTGGCCTTCCAGCTGTGCTTTAACTACAAATCCCAACATGCCTCTGGGAGTCATGCCTGTAACTGTCAGTCTGGAAATGTCTCATGGGACTTGTAGTTCAGCTGGAGGGCCGGAGTTGCCCACCCCTGGTTTAGAAGTTCCAATAGGTTCCTATGTATCGGTTCAATATTTTTTTGAAAATGCTGATAAACTGACTGCAGATAAATGCATCTAATGCAAGGTGTGCATATACCCGTAAGCATTAAGTATGTGTGTGATTGATTATATGTATATACACTGAGTGGTCAGATTATTATGACCGCCCCATCAGTACTTCGTTGGGCCACGAGATAACTCCACAAGATGACTTTGTTGGGCCGCCTCGTGTCTCCACGAGATGTTGAAAGGTGATGCGAGGAATCTGACAGTGCACTGTTGCCCTTCTACAAGTCTTGCCACTCTCCGTTCTGCCCTAACATGGACTAGTCGCTGAGGGCAACAATTCGCACCCAGATTTTCGGCTGACAGTCCAGTCTTTAAACACTTTAACAACAGCTGCTGTTGAACATTTAACGCATTCTGCTGTTTTGCCGATACTCGCTCCATGGCTCCGAGCGCCAACAATCATCCCACGTTCAAAGGCTGTTAAATCGCGTTGTTTACCCATATCTTCAGAAAAAAAATCCCTTCTACTGTCGTGGTAAACAACCTGATTCCCTATTTATAATGGTCTGGCCCTCTAGCAACTTCAGCGCAAAATTATAGCTAATTTGCGTACAAATGTCAGGTGGTCATATTAAACTGGCCACTCAGTGTGTGTGTGTATGTATGTATGTACACATATGTTTCCAAAAACGTTTTAAATGCATATAAAAGCATCTAATCGCATATAGTGTGAATGAAACCTTTGACACTGGGGTTATTTGATATTATTACATTGCAGAAACAAACAGCTCCACTTTCATCTTGCAATGATGTGAATGGCACAACCAACGCATTTTTCAAATGCAGGTATGCTGCAACAGAGTAGCATGCATTGCTGTATGCTGCCAAGAAAGCTGCATGTGTAATTTCTAGGCCTCTGAGGTGCTCATTCATTTAAAAAAAGGCTGCCTAACAATAGCGTACATTCACGCAACTCAAAGGATAGGTTTGGACCTAGCCTTAGGGGGGTCTATTTATAATTTGACAATATGCGTCAATAAAAGACGTTCGTTTGACATATGCTCTTGGTGAAATCTTGCTGCTTTTATTTATAATGCGTTTCACCCAACGTTGAAACATTTTTGTACTTGGATTCAACTGAAAAATGTGTGAAAGTTGTGTAGAAACATTTATAAATAAAGTCATCATTTTTATTTTGGCTTTTTTTAAGCGTTTTTTTTTTTCTTCATACTTTTATATATCTGTTTATAGAGGCAGCCATGTTTACTCTTTACATATGCAGGCTTCCTGTTTTGCACTGCTACGCAGTGGTTGTGCTTCACTGCTCCTTTCCACAATGCAAGTTATGCAAAACAATATTCTCATGGTGTGGCTGATGTCTTATCCCAACAATGGTTAGATACTCGTAGCAACTAATGATCACTACTTCTAATGGCTGGTCTATGCATTTCTTTATTTCGATTATTGTAAAGGTAGATCTGGAAAAGACCTGGAAGTAAATATGTGAAGGTATCATCAAAATAATATGTGCTCATTGAAAATACAATATACTCTCTCCTATCCATATGTGCTGGATTAGTATTTTCTGTTTCACAAACCTAAAAGCTGAACTCCAAGCAAACTGCTAAATACATAGTTGAAACATATATTGGAGTGGTTTATCTGCCAAAGGATTTTTACTGTGATTTACACAGCCCTGATAGACAATAGACAGCTTGGCGTAGGGGTGAGCTTGGGTTCAGTCCGAACCCGGAAGGAAACTCTCAGTGCTGGCCCAGTCAGCTGCGGTCAGGGCCTTACCTGTCCTACAGCTGCATGTAAACAGAGGCCAGTGACATCATTGACCTTCTATGGCCACATGGTTAGTGTAATTCACTAAATGTGGCAGTGTAAGGCCGATGTTGCCAGCATTCAGACCCTTTGTTTACATTTAGCTGCAGCCTAGTGAATGCCCCAGCCGCATCTGATTGGGCCAGCACTGACTGCTTCCTTCAAGGTTAGGACAAGCGCAACCTGAACTGAACACTGACTGCTGGTATACAAGGGATTACAAATAGTCATATCGAGTTGCAATTAAATTACATTTCCCTTTGTTTTTTCGTAAATTTAGAACTGCATTCATTAGTGTTTTGTTTAATATTTGCGTGGAGTTCAGCTTTAAACATTTTTTATTTTTTTATCATTATGGATTAAGGTGTGCCTGTAGTCCATTCGAAAATGAAACTCTCAGACGTAATGCAACACGTAATGTTTTTATAGGCCCTTAAGGATGCTCAGACACATGATCTTGTAATATGGAGAATGTGAATATTCTATCCCATATCGCCAAGTGTTTTATTTCAATCTAACCCCCCCCCTCCAAAAAAAGGTAATGCCTGTAATAAATCTGTCCATAGGCCAATGTTACCTTTTGAGTTATGCTATGCTGAGGTTTTCAAACAGAAAGTTCCAGCTTGACTCTCCTGCTGAGCTCCAACAGCTTAGCATAGACTTGAATAGGAATGGTTTCCTTTCACACATGTATGGTGGAAGTAAATCAATTTTCACAAAAGCTACAAATAGTGTTTTGGTACAGTTGATGTCTCTCCCCAATGTTTGTGTGACAACAGGATAGCATTCTAGCCAATGCCGAGTTGATACTACTTAGCTGGTTTTCACATGATTTGCATTCCTATTAACAGCACAACATTACAGAGAGATTGCTGAGAACTGCATACAGTATATACAG